CAGCCATTTAAATTTAAATGAAGCCGCGATTATTTTAATCGCGGCTTCATTTCCCTTTTCCGATCTGGCTAATCTACATGCCTCCGTCGACGGAGGCATGGAGTCTGGACACAGCCCTGGAGTCCAACCCAAATGGATTTATTTTGTCATCTTTAAAGTTTTGCTCCTACAGAGATAAGGTTTCACACCTGTAACTAGAAAAATTATAGATAGACTATGTAAGGGTGTGGCATGACTTGGGCTTTATCATTCATGAGCACTATGTCCATGCCAATGAGACATACCAGTCATCCCAGAGGAGGCCAAAAAGACCTTTACTCCACCCCACAGCATCATGTGTCTTCATATAGGATACATATCTTACAGGAAATCCATTTTAGAAAGTTTAATCAGTTTCTAAATGCATATCAATTATATTTGTCTTATCCTGCCAGATATAAAAACAGGTGCCTTAGGCACAATGATTTCATTTAGGCAGACCTCAGAGAGAGGAAGAATTTCTAATCACATAAGCTAGATGAAAAAATAATTGCTAGAAGATTTAAGGTAACACTACTTTAATTCTTAGAATTCAGAGTGATAACAAGAGAGAGAGTGAGACTCCTTCCTAAAGCAATGAAGCACAATCATCCCTACCTTGTTTTTACATTGCTCTTTCCAGATTGACCAGATAGGATGCTTTGTTACAGAATGCCCTTCCCCACAAGTAGGACCAGGAAACCCCCACCTATTAAAATATCAGCTTGCCATTCCAACTCAATCCTCAATACACATTTTAGAAACCTCTAAAAATTACCCCAAAATTGCCATTCACTATGTAATAATGTCACCATATTTAAGTCCTATATCACAGAACATACCACACCAAGGCTATAAATAAGTGCTGTATATCCTGTTGGGGAATTTTTTTTCCAATGGTACAAAAGTTCTTGTGGCAAACTCTGTTGTTCTGCCTGATGGCTTAAATTTGACACTAAAACACTGAATCAGGATTGAATACTGTTGTTTCACTTCAGAGCAGAGTAATTTTTTGAGATGGAAGCAGGGAAATTACATGGTATGCAAAGAAGGAAACATTTATACGACAAGTTATTAGATTGCAGTTACTGGAATATGATCTAAGGTTTGTAATTTTTGTGTGGTAGTTGTGATTAGTGAGCAAAAAAGTACAGGGCAAAATGGTCACATTTTATGGTACATCTAAATAATCATATTGCGTCCAGAACACTCCCAGAACATTGATTCCAATAGCACCCTCTGGCATCTTTCTGAGAGCAACAAACAGATTTACTTAAGAAAGAATCTATCCAGTCCTGACAAGATCTGCAACCAAGTTCGTAAAACATCAGAAGATGCTGACCAACCTAAAATAATCAGCAAGGACAACAAATCAGGAAGGACAACTGGTGTTTGCCCATTCTTAGCAATGTCTCATCTGCCAACAAGGTCAGTGTACTTTTTATACCACTGAATTCTCCCAGGACACAATGACCTTGAGCAATCCTTCACTAATAAAAACCTGCTCAACCTGATTCAGAAACCTGAGATGCAACAAAATGGGCTGTACCATTAAGACCAGGCATATTTCTAACTTCACCAAATCCTGGCACTCACACACAATCAAGGTTATCACACACAAATGAATTCAGTGTATAACTCCAACCACCCCTAGAACTTTCCTATTAGCCTGTTTTCTTAAACGAGGCCTCTCCAACCCAGAACTAAGTTTTTTTCTTCATATGCCCTTCCATCTGCTTCCTTTCACTGCCTTCACTAATAGCTACACCATCTTCCTCTGTCATATTCAGCTTCTTTCTCTTCTTCTTCCCCTGAAGTCAATGAGGCTCAGCAGTTTTAAAAATCAGGACACTTATTTAGTTGCCTAAATAAGGATATAAGAGCATAACTTCAGAGAATTTACATTTGAAAAGCTTGACCCAAATCTTCCATATTCAGTCCATTCCCCCAGCATCTCTAATTCTGGGATCCACTTCTGAGTCTGTCACCAACATACCTCTTAACTTTAGCCAGATGACCTCCGAGTATTGCTTTCTCTTTATTTATACAGTAGGGATAGTGGTAATTCCCTTCCTTTGTAAAGCACTTTGAAACCCATAGAAAAAAGCTCTGTATCAGAGTTAAAAATATTATATGTTGATGGGCCCAGAATTTAATCTATTTTCTTTATATCAATAATCAACGTGCATGCAATAATTTATGGCTTTTCCCCCAAAGCAGATATATCAATGTCCTCTAAACAAAGCAAATGCCTTCCCGCACATCCAAAAAGGTCAGCATAATGACCATCACCTCGTTGTTGTTTATTATTTTAAGGTTATGACAATATCATGCCAATTTCCATTCAGAATTTTTAAAAGACTAAACACAGGAAATGTTTGTGATTCACAGGAAACAAAGATAAACCAAAACAAAACCTTTTAACTTTCTAACATAAATGGAATTACTGGAGCATACCCAAGGTCTGTTAATTAAAAAAAAAATTAAATTGTGAGGAGGAACATGGCAACACAGCTTATACCAGCAAAGGAGTCTTTTGCTAGTGCAGCTTATTGGGGAAGGTGAGCTAACTACAGTGGCCAAAAAATATATAACAAACAAAACAAAAACCCACACCTCATTTTGCTGATACAAGCTGTGTCCCCACTAGGGACTGGTATAGCTATCTTGATAAAACCTTCTGAGGTTAAGCTAACCCTCTGAACTACTGTATAAGGAAATGGTGTAAGCCATTGAAACAATACTCAGAAGCGCTTAAGCAGTAAGCATTACACACTTTGGAGAAATCTTGGAAGGGAAGAAAATCTTAGAGCATGAATGCAGATTTAAAAGAATGTGTGAGGTGTGCATAAGTATTGGATTTTTGTTTTATAAATTGTTGTGAGAATATTCCCTCTGGTCTCTCACTCAGAAACGGCTATTTGACAACAAGCAGGTCTCAGTGTGTCAGTCTGAAAAAGGGCATCTACAGAAGCATAATTTAAAAGCTGCTGAATACATAAGAGTGAGTTCTCACTACCCTGACATTAATGATTAATAACAAATTAATCAATGAATCATTGATATGAATGTCATATCATTTGGTGTGATGGAAAGAGCATGCTAAATGTGTCAGGTATAAGAGAAAATCTCCTGTTATATTTATCACTGTATAGAGTTTTGTAAAGAAACATGGCATCTATACTCAATGGAACTTTCTATCATCTCTATGCCAAATTACTAGCATCTATTTGCACACAGCCAATCTTGAAGTGAGCAGAAACAATGCTATTCAAAATCAAATACTTCTGCACTCTAAATAGGTTTCTGGTGCAAAAACAACTACATAATATTCAGTGGCCAAGATCTTCGGCTGGTATAAACTGGCACAGCTCTGCTGATTTCAATGGAGCTATGCCAGTTCAAGACATATGAGGATCAAGCCCACATAAACAGATATAGGACTCATTTCAGTACATCAGAAAACCTGAGGTTGAGAGGGGAAATATTGCAAGCCCTAAGCAAAAATAAAGATGTTCAGCTGAGGTTGGTCCTGAAATCAATGAAACCAGAATCATCTCTCTTAACACCAGAAATCAATCTTCTGGGGTTACATTTAGTGGATCTAGTAAGGACTTAGGATGTTATAATGTGTTTATTTAGGTCAGTGTTTCTCAAAGTGGTCAGCTGATCCACTCTGAGACATCTGCTAACGGGCCACTCCATTAGGAAGCAGCAGCCAGCCCACACAACTTCTGCTGGCTCCCTTTGACTGCAAACAACAAACCGGAGCCAATGGGAGCCATGAGGTTCCGTGACTGCAGAGCCAGTAAATATACAAACCAGAGCAGCCAGTTAGCAGGTCTCTCAGGCTGTGTCCAGACTCAGGGGTTTTTTCGAAAAAAGTAGCCTTTTTTCGAAAAAACTTCACCTGCGTCTAGACTGCAGCCGCGTTCTTTCAAAATTAAATCGAAAGAATGCGACTTTTCTTTCGACGGTGGTAAACCTAATTCCACGAGGAAGAACGCCTTCTTTCGAAAGTGCTCTTTCGAAAGAAGGCGTTCTTGACAGCAAACAGGCTTTTTAGAAAGAGAGCATCCAGACTCACTGGGTGCTTTCTTTCGAAAAAGCGGCTTGCTTTTTCGAAATTCCGCGTGCAGTCTAGACGTGCTCTTTCGAAAGAGGCTCTTTCGAAAGTATCTTTCAAAAGAGCCTCTTAACAGTTACATGTTTACACGAGACATCATGACTGGTATAATCTACTTTGAGAAACACTGCTTTAGGTAAATATGTAACCGCTGAAAATTTCAACAGTTACATGTTTACACGTGGAGAGCAAGCGGTGCACACAGAGAGCCAGTTTTAAGTCGGCTCCCCATGCATACCAGTTCCTGTGGAGTTGCCTGCTCTTTCCTTTTCCCCATATCCTGCTACTTCACTACAGACTGGGTCCTAAGTATGCCAGTTGAACACACACATCCCCAGTCTACAGGTGAAGAAATTATGGACATGCTATGCAGTCCTTTTGCTTGGCCAAAGTCCAGAATAAGATTGGCTGTGCCCTGACACCAAACAACTATAGGTATCCCTGCTTGTTTTCTAGGTAAGGGGGCACAGAACTGGGACAGGAATGGCCTGAAAACCTCAGGGCAGCATGAAGAACAGCTACTGATCTATTTGGAAGCATACTCTGTACATGAGATACTCCCTAATTCCACACCTCCATGTTGACATTACCAGACCTAAAGCCCAGATTTTTAGCCCTAGGATGTTCATGTGGACTTCAGAAGGCTTGGATGTAGGATCATCCACTATTTGAACCAAAGTCCTTACCATACATTTATGTAATTTTCCCACTTCTTTGCGGACCTTACTTTGCTCATTTATCTCTTGGAACGAAAGGCGATCTTCCAACACAAATTGGCATTTATATTTTCACATGCATAGAAATATATTTGCTTGGTTTTCAAATCAAAACTGTGAAAAATTTGGTCCAGCATTAGTCTTTATAGCTATGTTACTCTTGATAAATCACTAGCAAAGGACATTGAAGAAATAGTTATGCCCAATTTTCCATTCTAGCAAGGCAGAAGTGTCACAGAATAAATAGGAAAATGGCAAGCAGAGAGCTCAGGTAAAGTATTTTGCAAGCCTCTCTGTCACCTATTAGGGGAGGAGCTGCAAAAACAAACAAATAAATCAAAGTTGTTTGGGGATTTACAAAGCACCTCTTTGAAAATGGCTGTCATATGAAGAGTGATTAAAAAGCTGGGACTAAGACTTTTCAGCTTAGGTGGGATATGATAGAGGTCTATAAAATCATGACTGGTATAAAGTGAATAAGGAGAAGTTATTTACTTGTTTCCATAACATAAAAACTAGGGGTCACCAAATGAAATTAATAGGTAGCAGGTTTAAAACAAACAAAATGAAGTACTTCTTCACACAACAGACAGTCAACCTGTGGAACTCCTTGCCAGAGGATGTTGTGAAGGCCAGGACTTTAAAAGGGTTCAAAAAAGAACTAGATAAATTCATGGAGGATAGGTCCATCAATGGTTATTAGCCAAGATGGGTAGGAATGGTATCCCAGGCTTCTGTTTTCAGAAGCTGGGAATGGGTGATGGGGTGGGATCATTTGGTGATTACCTGTTCTGTTCATTTCCTCTGGGCCATCTGGCATTGGCCACTGTCTGAAGACAAGATACTGGACTAGATGGATCTTTGGTCTGACTCAGTATGGCCATTCTTATGTTAACATTTTTCACAAAATGAAGGACCTTTTAAAAAGATTTTAATGCTACATCAAGCATGTCTTGTTACATTAATTACACCATGACTAAGGCAAGCTATAGGAATGTGTCAGCTTAGAAACTGTAAAAGGGTCCAATCCTGCATTGCTCTCTTTCTCATGAGCAGTTATTATCATACAGTCCCTCTGGAATCACTTGTGCTGCCCACAGACAGGTTACTCAAATGAGTAAAGGCCACAGGAGAAGGTTCATTATGTGTTCATCCTGTTTCCTGAAATAATTTTCACTCCTTTTCCAAATAAGAAGAGAACAGCAGATGAGGTGTTCTCCACTGAAATTTGTGCAGTTAATTAACAAGCCAAGCCAAATACACTCAAGCAAGTAACCATGGCAACCAAGACAGCGTTTGAAAACCAGCATGTTTCAAGATTAATCAAATGGAGAGAAATAAGGAGCTGTGGTTGTTCCAGAAGCTAAACTTGCCCGTTTAGCTAGAAAACATGAAACAAGACCCAAATGAAAAATGCCTTTTTTCTCTCCTCATTACCTAGCAACACTTTTCATGCTGTATGAACAGAACCAATTACAGGGAAAAGGAGGCTGAAGAAAATAGAATCTCTCTCCCAGTCAATCCAAAAGATGTTGCAGGCTGAAGGCATTAAGCAACTCAATCTACAGTTAACTTAATGGCAGTTTCCAAGGGGCTTGCACTCTCTCTGTGCAGCCATATTCTGCAGAATTCCTGAAACTGAACTACCTTAATGCCTAATGACAGTTCTACAGCAATAAATCCTGTTCCTAAAAATAGAGTATGCATAATGTGCCTTCCATTCTCTGCTACTATGAATAATATGCAAAAGCCACCAAACTGTTATTCCTAGAGATTCATTCATATTGTCGTAAAGGCTTCCAGAGAGAAGTCTTACACAGGGTTGATAAATCACACATTTCCAATGATATTTTTGCTTTACCTATATATAGATATATGTAATTTAATTTTAGAATGAACAAATACATTATATTCTGTTAAAAGCAATTTGCATTGTACATAGTACAACCACAATGAATATAGCAGGTGTGTCTAGCTAACTAGCTAGACACAAGTGTATCATGAGCTTTACGTTGTCAAACAGAAAAATCCTCTGAGACTTCAGTGAGTACACAGTTTCGGTTTGAATTTCCAGAGGTATTTGTGCTTTTGGGATTATGCCAAATTAGTTCAAGAAGGAGCCCTCAGACTTCCCCAAATAGATGCTTGGGCTATCAGAAATGTATCCCATATCTGCTACTGGTGACAAATGAGTTTAAGATAGCCGCAATATCTTATAAAAATGAAATCTAGGGGCAGTGAAAGGGTAAAAACTAACCCCTAAAGCACAGAGCACTGTGCTGACAGACTTCTCAATTGGGCTCGCTTTAATTTCATCTTTCTATATAATTTAATATTCACAACAAATGACATAAGAAAGTATCACCCCTTTCTTCCTCCCCTCCCCCATTAAGTCTTTGATGGAAAAGAAGTTGTCTGTCTATTCTCAATTACTCTGTTAGTCTATGAGGCAACCAGAAGCATTAGTAAACGTACGGTGTATAACATACTTCAGGACCGAACTATTACATTGTAGGGTAACCCTGAAATTACATAAAACAGAGATGCCAGATTAAGTTCCCTGTAACTGTGCCCTGTACAGTTAGTTCTTGAACCATCTGAAATTAAAGCCCGCTGTTGCCCAAACACAAAATACTGGAATCCCCCAGCTGGAAACTAAAAATCAAGTGAATTTGTTACCTTGGATGAACTCCGATTTCCTGCTTACAGAAGGTAAGGTCTTGTTTAGCCCCAGGATCCTGTCTAAGTGGAAGGCAAACACCTCACTCATATCAAGGGGTCTCTTGATGAGGCCGCAGTACCCTTGACTGCAAGATGCTCCTGTGGCAGTGGGACTCCCCTCAAACACCAGCAGGACTCCATGCTGAGAAGGTGCTTCGTGGATACTGCCTATCCGGGAATCCGCCAGCAAGCGCATGCTTAAGATGTCATCTTTGCTCAGCCAAGAGGGGGGCCTCTCACTGTATATCCTGATGTTACTCTCCAGAGCCTTGGGCAGCACATTTACACCTCCTGAAATTCCAACTTGTCTCCGACGTCCCCTGCTCACCAGTTCCCTCTCTCTACCCCAGTGCTTCTCCAGTTGGTGCTCTGGTGTCTCTGAAGCTACTGCTGCCCTCATTATTCCCACAGAGTGGCTAGTCCTCCCCAGCTGCAGGGCCAAGGCCTCCTCCTGCCCAGGGCCATCTACTGGAAAGTGCGGCCCAAAGGGCAAAGGGAATGCATGCTTCTTCCTCAGCTTGGGTTTCACGCTGCCTCGGATGTTGGTGGGCTTACTGCGTTTGGACCGCAGTGTGATATACACCACATTGTGTGGGACTGAGGTCCCATTGACACCCACCTGGGGCCCTTGGAGATCAGATGGGAACACGGTGCCATCCAGCAGGATCCCCAGAAAAGGTGTTTGGCCAGCATTTTGAAGACTCCTGGAATTTACCTTCTGGTGTCCCCCTCTGTGTTGGGGTAAAATGTGACCCACTTGACTGACTAGAAACCCCAGGTATATCACACAGGCTACCCCCAGCAACAGATTCCTCCTGGTCCTGAGGCGCCTGCCACTCCAGAGTCTCCGCACCCGTGGGGTGCACAGTGAGCAAACAAACCAGTTTATGAATTTCCCTGGCTGATCTAGGAAGGTCATTTCTTCAGTGAATCCACATGATGAAAGCAGCTCATAGTCTTCCGTGGTTTACAGACAGGAGGATGATGCATGATTTCCCTTCACAGATCTCTATTTTTCTTTTCCAAATAGCTTCCAGAGCAAGCAGTACACAGGGCTAGTGGTGTGGCTGGGAATGTAAATGTTTAATACTAAAGGTTCTGACACTCCACCGCAACAAGCTGCAAAACTCTTATCAGCCAGCACAGGGGAAGTGACTTGTTTCAGGGAATGAGTGGAGTCAACTGTACAAACAAAGTTAAACAAGTCACGATCCAAAATGTCTGAGTCCCCTCTGCAAGCTGTAAAAGGAAAAGAATTACAAATAATATTTCTTTATCCACACGGATCTAGATCATGGCATCACTCTTTCTCAATTGATAGATCTGGAGACAAGGCAGAGATCTAGAGACATGCCATTTTACAGATTTCAGATTAAAATGAGAAAAATAAAGAAACCCCCAACATCATGGAACATGAGAAACAATTTATAGTCCCAAGTAACTGAACTCCGGCATTAAGAGGAAAACACAGAAAAGCCAGATTTCCTCTCCTTATGTTTATGACAGGCAGGTCCTCAAATTAAAACCACAACTTCTGCTGTTAGTTTCAAAATATAGTGCATTAACCGATCCAGTACCAATACAAATATGCACATTTCCATTATCAAACAATGGTTACACTCTGGCACAATAACAGTTCACATGCTTCATAAGCCACATTAAAGATAAAATACTGTTAATTCTATACACTCCTGTGAAGCTATAAAATAGCATTTCCTGAATGACTGAGTATAATTTTCAAATACAATAAAAAGCACTGTCATCTCCTCTCAAGGAAGAAAAAACATAATTTACTACAAAGATATAGAAATAGTCTTACCTATTCAGCTTGTCCCATCCTTGGCTCTGGTAAATCCTTATGCTATAGCAATACCAATAACTTAGAAAAAGCAGTGTTTCTTAATGGACTGTGGCACACAACCCAGATTTAAGTGTGCTCTACATTTCAGATATTTGATTGTAGGCTTAATGCTCTTTGTAAATATACTAGATTTATAGGGAGGCTGCTTGCATGTGAACTGCTATAAACTTACATGAACCTTGTTATAAAAAACCCTTCTATTTTAAATTCTGCAGTGAAAAGTCCTGTGAACTGTATGTCTTCTTAAAGTAGGTTCCAGCAGTTTCTAACTCAGGAGGGCCCTCTAGTGCATTGCACGCAAATGTGTTTAAGAAATCCCAGTCTTCCAAAGTAAAGGGGAAACCTTGCTCTTTTAACATATCAGTAATCATACATCTTTATATTAAAAAGGTAACATGCTTTAAAAAATACTAGAATAATAATATTTTGCAGTTACATAGTGCTATTCATCGCTAGTTCTAAAAGGGAACATGTCATTGGCCTCATTTTACAGATGGGAAACCTGTGAACAAAGAAGTTAAGTGACTTGTTCGTGGTTGCACAACAAGAATAGTGGCAGAGCCAATCATAGAACCTGGGATCTCTGATGCCTCCTTTGGTTCCCTATCCAACTAGACCACACAAATTCCTATAAAATTAATGTAAAACAGTAAAAATGTATTCATTCCACACAAGTTCCTATTTGCTTTATGGCTAAAAATACCCCCCCCCCCCCCCCCCAATTACTAAAAAAAATGGGAAAAGCACTGTAAGGTGAGTATATATTTTCCAAGATTACTTAAAATTTTGTCAAATTAGTAGTTTTATTTTAAATTAACTTGGGCTTTGTAATTTTTATATATGGGTATTGACTATGAATTCTGAATATCGCTAGGAACTCCCTATGCCCATACATTTTCTGAGAGGACAATGCTCCAATGAACTGTTCTCTCTAAACTTGATTTCAGTGTGTACCTTGAGTGACATGTAGACATAAGAAAGAATTTTCCCCTTCAACTTATGGCTCCCCCTCTCTTAGTTTATTTCAAGTTTTTACTTTAATAACTTTGTACTGGTCTTGTGAGTACTTTTGGCTGTTCCTCTCTGCTCAAAAGATTTTTTGGTCCTCTGTGTAAGAGGGTTTAGCAACAGAAGTGTTGGAAGTTCCTTAGACATGGGGAGCCACTGATGCCTGAGCAATGGTCCTGCTCCCCATTCTATCTCTTCCCCCAAGGCTTTGTCCTACTCCTTCCTGCCACACACTCAGCCCCATCCTCTTCTGCCAGACTCAAGCCGCGTTCTTTCGAAATTATTTCGAAAGAACGCGGCTTTTCTTTCGATGGCGGTAAACCTCGTTTCACGAGGAAGAACGCCTTCTTTCGAAAGTTCTTCTTTCGAAAGAAGGCGTTCTTCAATGTAAATAGGGCTTCCTTGAAAGAGAGCATCCAGACTCGCTGGGTGCTCTCTTTCGAAAAAGCGGATTGCTATTTTGAAAGATCTGCCTGCAGTCTAGACGCGATCTTTCGAAAGAGGCTCTTTCGAAAGATGCTTTCGAAAGAGCCTCTTTCGAAAGAAGCCTGCAGTCTAGACATAGCCATATAGAGTATGTCTACACTGCAGAGGATTTTTTTTTTAAAACAGTCGTTTTTCTGAAAAAACCTGAGTTACGTCCACACTACAATCGCATTCTTTCGCAAAAAAAAAAAATCAAAAGAACAGAGAGTTTTGTTCCAACAGCGGCAAACCTCTTTCTACGAGGAAGAACGCCTTTTCCAAAAGAGCTGTTTTGGAAAAAGGCATGTATGCATGAGGAAGAGGAAGGTTTCTTTTTAAAGAAAAGGCCTCCAGGGAAAAGCACAGGTGCCCTGGTGGCCATTCCGTCCACAGTAATCAATCCAATTAATGCGGATGTTATCTTTTGAAAAAACAGATCGCTTTTTCGATGAGCTTTGGCAGCGTGGAAGCTCTCTTTCACAAGAAGGTTTTTCAGAAGCTCTCTTCTGGAAAAGCTTCTTCCAAAAAAAGCCTGCAGTCTTGACATAGCCATAGAAGCCCTGGCAATGAGACTCCAAAAGAGTCGTTGCAAGAAGCTATATGCTACCTGAGAATTCCCTGTAAAAAGGGGAAATTCTCATTCAGCTAGGTGCTGCCAGGTTTCCTGCCCTTTGTGCCAATGAAAAAGTGTAAATAAACCCTGCATGTTTATTTGGGCCCTGCATATCATTTTAAACTGCAAAAAAGTATGGGCAATGATATACAATGACATGTGGAGAAAAGATAAGTGAAAGGGAGCTCTTTTCATGGAAGCCTTGCAAATGAAAGCAGCATTTGGTCCACAGCACACAAGATATGGACAAACTACAGAGAGCATGAAAAAGATTTCAATTGCTGAGAGCTAGATTCAGTACTGACACAGTGAATTTGGGGACACAGTTCAGCAAGAAATCTGTCCACTGAGTTTACCATATTTATAGTTTTATTCCTTGTATCGCTTGTGACAGAATCCATCCTACGTTGTATAATATTCCCTACTATTGAAGCTACTTTAGTGAGTGCATACAGGGAATACCATTACTTGTCAGTGACATGTTGATGCGATTAGAATGTGGATAGTCTTAGTTACTAATGTTTTCCTTTAGCTCATCCAGGCCTGGGGGTCTGGTAATACAAAAGCTACTGTGGCAGTAGCCAGAGCTCTGGGCTCTTTAAATCGCTGCCAAAAGACCATGCAATGCACTCTGGGCAGCACTGAGTGCTGACTGAGGAAAACACAGCACTCTCCCAGCAGTGCTAAAGATGGCCTAGCCCCAACCCCAGCTTCACCCCACCCTCATCGTTTCGGTGATCGCAAAGCAGAGCCTCTCCCTCCCACCCCACCTTGCCTAGGCCCAGAGAGGCTGTCGGTCCTGCTGAGCTCATCCCCTTTAAACATTATAAGCTATACAAACCTACTCATACAACTCTTTAAAAAGGAGTATAGATGATTCAGAGCACAGTTTTTTCACTCCCAATTTCCTTTTCTGGAAGAGCCCATGCAATTGAAGTACTGATGATCACTCAGGAAACACAGTTTGTGACTGTTGTTTTTGTGATTCTTCTATTATTTTTGTGCTCCAGCAATATTATTCTCTCTTGGTATAAATCATTTCAGTGAAATGGAAAGCTGCCAAGAACTTGACTAAAAAGGGATATACTTTCTTCTAATCTAGCTGAGATTTCCCCCCCCCCCCCCCCAACAA